ATGACTCAACTGGGAATTTTGTTAAAATGCATGTTCTGATTTAGGAGATATGAGATGGGTCTAACATTCTGCATTTATAATAAGCACCCAACTTATGCTGGTGCCACTGGTCCACAGACCACACTTTGTGTACAAGATTGTAAGGTATGTGCATTTTTAAATTTCAACATTATCACTGCCTAGCTGCATTCCAAAGTGACTGTAGCAATTATACTTTCAGCAGCAGGAAATGTGAGTACTTATTTCTCGTATATTCTCTTTTACACTTGAAAATTATCACATTAAATCTGTCAGTATGATAGGTGAGATACGGTATTTCAAAATGAATTTCCTGATTTTTAACAAGTTTAAGCATCCTCTTGTGTATTTGTTGAATATATATACCTTTTCTTTAGTTAACTGCTTGTTCATATTCTTGGCCCATTTTTCCATTTGGATATTTTTGCCTATCTTATTGACTTATATGAATACTTTATATTTTCTGGATATCAACCCTTATTGATTGATATCCAGATTTAATATCAAGTCTATTAAATATCTTGCAAATATTTTTCTCTAGGTCTGAATTGGCAAATGCCCACCCAGTAGAACTGTTTAATGATTGAATGGAAATGAAGCCCTTTAGAAGTTGCATAACTACTTATTGGGGAGGAATTTGATGCCACCGTCAACTACTGGTGCCTTAATCTTTCATATTAATATGATGATGTGAGATTAGAGTGTATCAGATTAGAGTTTACCAGATTGTGTTACAGAGTGTATTTGTTGGCCTCCACTAAGCAGTGTCTCTTTGACAGTGGTAGTGCAGGTCTGTGAATCATCTCTGCATTACCAGACCTAGCCCTGGGCCTAGCACAGAGCAGGCACTCTGAAATATTTAGTGGATGAGTAAGTGGACAGATGGCTAAGTGGGTCTAGTTGCAGGATTCCCGTCAGCATCTGCCCTGCAATTTATCTAGGAGTTGCTCTGGGCCTTCAATAAAATAAGAGGAGCCAAGAGTCCATTTCTAGGATCCTTTTCTCCTTTTTAGAGGGCAGTTCCCTCTGGTGGCTTGTCATCTCTCTTTCACTTACTTTTCAGATACTTTGGTGCTCAGAGAGTAATGGTGAGAATAGTTAATACTTATATTTACATTATATTTATATATACTTGTATTTATAGTATAATAATTGGAGTGACTTAATGTGCTTGATATACATGAATTTACCTAATTCTCACAACATCTCTGTGAGGTGATGATGACAATTATTATTATTCTTATTTTATAGCTGAAGGCACAGACAGGTTAAGTAATTTGCCCAAGATCACACAGCTAGTAAATGGCAGGGCTGGAATATGAACCAGCTGTTTGGCTCCCTAGTCTGTACTCAAGAGACAACATATGAAAAACACTAGGCCTGACACAATGTAGGTGCTAAACTGAACATTCCTATTTTTGTCCACTTTCTCACCTTTCCAAAGTATGGCTTTTCCAACAATGACGTCTCAGTCCATGGGTTGGCAGAATCCAATTTTGGACCTAATGTTGTCCACAGCCTTTGTCTCTGAATCTTGCATCCATCCCTGCTGGAAGCCCCCAAAATCCATTTTCTGTGGGATCTGGCAATCCCACTTTCCATACATCCAGATCAGGGATTGAGGCTTTCCACCTTCAGGGCCCACTTTTCCCTTGGGGGTCCCCAAATCTCAGTCCCCAAGGCTTTGCATGGTGCTGCCATCTGGTGGGTATAGATGATCACTGACATCCCTCTCTGATGAGTGGACTCTTGCCATTGGCCAACATTGGTCCACTGTTCCTTTTTAACTTCCAGGTCAGGATACTCTACTTAGAATGTAATCAGCTGGTAGTTAAACTCCATCAGTGACTGGCTTTTCCAACCCTGGTATCAAAGATATTCCAAATGAAGGTTAATATTGGTGGGATGACAGTGTGGCTGTACTTGTGAATAAGAAGTCCTACTTAGCTCCCTTTCAAGTCATAAGAAGAAGGCCCCTGCCTATTCACTACAAAAGATGGGTGAAATCCAACATTGTGCTAAGGATTTTAAACATCTACAGCCCTTTTTGTAGATTCTTTAAGGTACTCACTTTCCTTTGAGTGGAAGTACACCAGGTTCAAATGCTAGGCATTAAGTGTAAAGAAATGCATTACACTGGAGTCTCTGCTAGGCCTGCTCACATCCATTATCTAATGAAGTTCCCAGTTACCCTCTGATGGGGGGTTTATTTAAAATAACAGTGAGAAAATATTTAGGAATTAGATAAATGACCTAACTTGAGAACCAGAAACATCCTTCTATACAAGGATGATTTTTAGCAGCTTTCCAGACTCAGAAAAGAGTCCCATATTGATACTATGAGACTCAGATTATACGTACTTGTCTGGAGTAAAGCAGGCAGAGCCCAAGGCAACTGGTCCTTCAGACAAAGCCTCAGGGTCTCAAGAATTACTTGCTGGATTGAATGTAATTGAACTGAAGGTCAAAGATATGAATCTCTACTCAGATATTATATATAGGAGGGCTTACATGGGGGCTAACTCTTTCTAGCCTTGTGACCATAAAATCTTTGTGGTAAAGTCTTTGTGCTCCCTTCCAGTTCACTCTTTTATAACAAAGGGCTGGCAGTTGTAAGTAGAAATTTGAAGGTACTGGGGGCAAAAATGAAACAAAATGTTCCCATTTTGAACATCCTATCACCCTTTGCAGATCACTGCAGTACTGATGGTAAAGAGAGATGTTATGAACAGAGAGCCAATGTACTGGAGCCTAGCTAGGCAAGATGAGCACCTGGTTGCTTGGAGCTTTAGTGCCTATTAGCTTTCATTGAGCTAAAGAGCCCTGATTACTGGTTTGTGGAGAAACGGTAGGTTGGAGTTCACAGAGTTGAGCTCTGGCCTGGAAGGAAGCTCACCTGATTCTGAGCACCCACTCTGTGCCCTGCACAAATTAGAGTGCTTTCTGGGGCATTCTCTCATTTAGTCTTCACAACCAGTACTTCAGCAGGTATTGTTCACGTTTGACATGTGGGGAAATTGAGAATTAGTAACATTTTGAAACTTGTCCAAGTTCATGTAACTAGTAAGTGGTTGGTCTGGGATTAGAGTTGTGGAATCTGGCTGCACCTCCACTGAGAAGTCTTTGAAATGGACAACTTGACCCTGTGACCTTTCAGAGAGGAAAACCTGTTCTGCATTTTTTCTTTTGTTTCATTCATTCCCTCCACACTTATAAACTATCTTAGAGGATCATCTGGACAACAATTTAAGGTGATGTAATCTACTTTGTTTTCTCCTTGAACCTTATTTTTTTTCCCCATTAAGAATGTGAAAAATGAGTATTGTTTCCTGTCTGTCTAGCCCTGTTGTGGTTCAGGAGAATCCTGGGAAGAGCTGAACTTCTAGGGCTCCTCCTGGGAGAGGGTATAGAACAGAAGGAAAAATTAGACCTTACTGTGAGCTATACTCAAGGCCAGAGCCTGTAAATCCATCCAACCAGCAGAAAGTCCACATCCTTCATGGATTAGCTGGTCATACTTCCAGAGGAGAAGAAAGGGAGAGGCATGTTTTCTTCCCTCCTGGATGCAGATTTCTTTACCTTGATTTTTTTTTTCAAAAATAGTGCATGTTCTCTCCTCTCATTCAGATGGTCCCCCTCTATTCTTTCCCCAACTCACTTCCAGCTATGGGTAAAGAGAAATCTTCCCATGTCACTACATGGTGTCTATTTTCACAGCATCTTTGGGGATTTTCTGTAAGCAAAGCACTAGTTGAAGGACCCCCCCCTGGCTGATGGCCAGAAAGTGCCCCCTTGCTTGGCTTTGAGCCCTCCCCCTTTTTGGGGTCAGTTCTTTGAATTCAGAAGACATCACCTGAGGGAGCACCTTGCCTACTCTGCCACTGCTGCCGGGGTGCTGGTACAGGAGGTGGGCATGCAGCAGGTTGCCTCCCTGACTCTGCAGGCCAGGGAAATGAACCCCTAGATGGAGAAGAGGATATAAATCTGTGTTCTAACGTCTCTGTTTAAAGGAATTCTAGTCAGGTGCTGACAAGAAGTGAGTTCAACAGAAAGGGATTTGCTCCAATAACAAAATAGTGCCAAGGGTTGGAGTCTAGGCATGTTCCTTTGCTGTCATGTCAGTTGCACTTCTCCCTAATATCAGTCACAAACAGCATGCAGAGGAACTTTATAGTTCGCAGAGAGCTTAACGCCTCTCGCCCCACTGCCCCACCCCACCCCCGACACACACCCGGGATATTTCTGTGCAGGGTTTCCTCGTGCCCTGAGATGAACTCAGTCCCACATGGATGACAACTGGACTGGGGTTACAGGATAGCTTTGTTTTGGGAACTGCACAGGCTACAAAAGAAAAAAACCACCCTAGACCGGGCAAAAATCTTCGAGGGGTATGGTGGTGGTGCTCCAAGATCTTCTAGGAGATTCCTAGGAGGGTTTGCTCTTTGACAGTTGCCAAGTCTGGAGACGTCCAGGTGGCCGGCAGACACAGCGCGTCTGACAGGGCGGAGGTTGAAGTGAGGCCAAGGAAGAAGTGGATGCCAACGAGGCTTGACCAAAGGCAAGACCGGGCAGACGATCCAGCCCATGCTTTCTTGGCCTCTCTGTGCCCTGGCAACCAGGAAAAGGGTCCAGGGGTGGGTTGGTGGAACCAGAGCAAGAAGCCCAGCGGCCGCAACGAGGGGCGCTGAACCGCTCAAACCCCCAAAGACAGGAGGTTCCTGCGCGAGAGTTGGAGGTGGAACTCCTCTAAGAGATGAAACCTGCCCATCTAGGGACTGGGACTGGCGGCGCGCCCTCTCTGGGAGCTTCAGGTCTGGGGCGGCCAGCGCGGGCGCCGGGGGAGGCTCAGGCGCGTCCCCGGAGGGCGGGAGCCAGGGGCGGCCAGCAGGTGGGGCCCGGGGGTCGGACTCCGCCCCGCCCGCCCTCCCTGTTGGTCCGCAGCCGCCCAGCACCAGCCCCTCTCCAGAGCCGGAGCGCGATTGGTGGCGGCTCTTGTCGCTCGGAGGGGGCCGGGCCGCCGTGCTCCGCGGCTCTCCCCGCCGCCACCGCCGTCCTTCTAGCAGCGCGGGCCGGTCGGACTGCCAAGGCAACCGGCTCCTGGCGATGGGAAGCGGTGCGGCCGCGGACCCGGGCTGTGGCAAAGTTTCCCAGACGCGCGTATTCCGGCGCGCAGCTGCCGGACACCCGTGACCGCTCCAAGAAGGGCTCGGAGGTTTTTAATTTGGAAACAAAATCCACCTCATTTCCTTTGTCAAGCTCTCTCCCCGAGTGGCCAGCGGCGGGAGCTCAAACTTGGGTACAGCAGCTTCACGGGCAGCAGACCCGGCTTTGGGGAACCTCCGGACCCAGGTGCTCGGGCGCCAAGCGGCCCTTGGCTTGATAGGGGGTGTGAGCGCGGGGGAGTCCGGGGCGCGCGGCGAGGAGGGTTCCCTGGGAGCTCTATATGGAGGAGGGAGCCCAGAATGGTGTGCACCAGGAAGACCAAAACTTTGGTGTCCACTTGCGTGATCCTGAGCGGCATGACCAACATCATATGTCTGCTCTACGTGGGCTGGGTCACTAACTACATCGCTAGCGTATATGTGCGGGGGCAGGAGCCAGCGCCCGAGAAGAAGCTGGAGGAAGACAAAGGGGACACCCTGAAGATTATTGAACGGCTGGACCACCTGGAGAATGTCATTAAGCAGCATATCCAAGGTAGGGCGCCCCGGATAACTTGGGCTGCTCACAAGGCCCGGGAGTGCCTAGCGCCGCGCGGGGTGCGCTGGGGTTAGTGCGCACCTATCGAGCTACTGTGGGGCGCTGAGGCCGCAGTCGCTTGGGGGCTGCGTGTCCGCTTTTGCCTGAGTTGGGGATCCTCGGTGTCTGAGGCAGTGCGCTCTTCTACGGGGCACACGTGTGGGTGTGTGCAGCTCGCTGGCGGTGTGGGGGCGCACTACGCACGTGTCCAAATGTGCTTGTGACTCCGCGGCTGGTTGATCGGGGGCTCTCCGGATAGCACACAGGTCCTGTTCAGAGTGTGTGTACGTGTGAATGATCGTGTGTGTACAAGAATGCGCGCGCGCTGGCCATCGAGCTCATTTGGCCCATGTAAAGGCTCAGGGCGAGATGCCCGTGTGGCCCCAGCTGTAGGCGTTTGGAACCCACTGGCTGCAGGAAGAGCCGCGGCCTCAGCCCTGCTGTGCGCGGTCGGTAGGCTGTTGGAAACGCACGGGGATCTGAGGCTAGTGGTGATGCTTAAACATATTGCGGTTCCCACCCCCACCACACCAGCGAGTCCAACACCTTCTCCTGGAGTGGGCGTTGATTCGGGGAAGAAGCCCCGGAGTCTGGAGCTCTGTACACTGCGGTGGCTCTTCCGCCCAGGACGGGGAGAACCCTCCTAGGGCTGCGCCTAAACAGCGGGGCCGCTCGCGGCCGGGTGAAGGCCGTTCCCTTCGGCAGGTCCACTGCCAGGCCCAGGGAGCGGCAGGGGCGGAGCAGACCGACCCGCGCGGGGTGGGTCTGGAGCCTAAAACAACGCCGGTTGCGCTCCAGGCCAAGGGGAGGATAGGGTACTGGGCGCTCTCCAGGGCAACCCCCGTCTGATGAGCTGTTAGAGTCAGGGGATGGAGAGCTCTGGGAGCCACAGGCAGGGGAGCCGAGAGTGCACACACACCATATACGTGCGTCTCTCACGTTCACACTTCTCTGTTCTTCGCCTCCCTTCTCCCCCTGCTTTCTACCAGGCATGTGAGTCTTTTAAAGGCAGGGAGCTTCATTCACCTGGACACCTAGTAGGCCAGCCAAGCTCTGGGTCCAGTACCAGGCAGACCTTAGCAAATATCGGGTTGAACAGAAGGCTTTCTTTTGCAGGAGCACTCGTGTTTACACGTGGGTGTCTGGCTCCAACCCTTGCACCTGCTGTCCCTGCCAGGTTATGGGCAGCTCTGTCTACATTTGGTCTGTTTCCCACATGTCCAGAATAGTTCCCTCCCAGAGGAGGTTCAGGTGAGTGCAGGAGAGGTGTACATACCCATTGAGTTCCTGATTAATGTCCTCAAAACAAGTGCATGGCTCCAGGACACCTCCGCAGAAAAGGAGACCATTGACAGCTTCTCCTTCATACCTGTCTATGCCACTCAACCCCGCACTGGGCTTGCCAGACCAATTTGTCTATCTGATGGTCCTCTTGTTGCTGTTTATTACTTTTTCCATCCAATGGGTCTGGATTGACAGTTAATAAGCAATAGAAGTACAATGATTGCCCTAGGGTGATTCAGAATGTTCCCAGAGAGACACAAGGTCTTATCCCTTACTTTGACATTTCCAGTTTGCCTAGAGATTTTGAGACATTTTCATTCACAGATTCTGTGTGTGTATATGTTTCTGGAAAATGATTCTCTTGTGCCTTACAGTCTAGTTGGGGGGCAAGGTACTGCTTTGAGGAGACATTGTTAACCCATGAGCTCATCACAGAATGGCCACCATCATGTTGAGTGTGTCCCTATCACATGATTTACAAAGCTGTACATGAAAATGAGCAATGTTGAAGTTGAAAGGAGCCTTTGTGATTTTGTTCCCAGGAAACCTTATAACTGTGCAGTGGTTGGAACTTTCAAAAACTGAGAGAGGTGGGGAAAAAAGAGGCAGCAGGTCCCTTAAAACGTGTTGGTCCAGTTCTCTTTTGTATCTGTGAGACCGTATTATATGACTCCTGTGGATAATCAGAAACTCCTTTCTCAGGACAGAAAGGCAGAAGCCACACCCTGTAGGAGTTGGGGAAGGGTCAGTGACCTGGGGGAGACTGGACTCCCAGCAGGTGGGGGGTCCCAGGTTACTTGGTTATGCCAAGATGGGGTAGTGATTGCTAGTGACAGCTCCCCTAGTGGTGCTGGAGCCATCCTTGAACTACAATTTGGGGAATTTAAAGTAAATTTATGGATTTACCTTATTTAGGTGAGGGGCCTACAGAGTTTGGGAGTAGCTAAGTGCAGTTCTTTCAAAGCAGAGGGTGGAAAGGACAAGATCAGACTCTCACACTTGATGAGATAGACTGTATATGTGTATTCCACTGTCAAGTTTCCCCAAGTCAGAGTCAGTAGTCTTTTGGGCATCCAGTTTACCCTGCTGAGCTGAGTGTGATTAAGGGAATAATAGCAATAGCTAAAAATTATATAGCACCTCTTATGTGCCAGGCACTATTCTAAATGCTTTATGTATATTGACTTATTTAGTCCTTGTAACCCTATGAGGCAGGTAATACTAGAGCCATTTTACAGGTGGAGAGGTTGTACGACTTGTCTAGAGTCACACCACCATGTGGTAGCGCAGGGATTTAAACCCAGCTAATGCTGCTTCAGAGTCTGTGTCCTTAACCACATAGCATACTGTCTCTTAAGAGGGCTTGTGAATGGCAAGGGAGACAGAGGTCCCTGGTGTTGCTTTATGGTGGGAATGGATGTCCCAGTGAGAGTCCTCAGAGGATGGCTGAGGGATGATGGAGTCGTAGCCTTCCATCCCATTTGGAGACTCTCCCATATATCAACTCAGGAAGTTCTGGATTTTATTTTGTTTCATGCTGAGAGGCAGAGGTTACATTCATTTAAAAAAGTGTTTGTGGAATACCCAGGACATTTCCTGGCAAATCCATGGAGAGTAGGTGTTGGATGGGTGAGTGGATGAATGAATGAATACACAGTGCAGACAACCCATTGCACTGGTTAGTCATTAATGAAAGCGTTTCCATTCTGCAGCTAGTATGTTTTGCTTTGGAGCCTTGCTCAGGCTCCTCTTTGGTTTGGAAGGAAATTTGTTCAGGAAGCTGCAAATGTCACAAAATGTTCTGCAGGATGTTCCATAGGACCTGCAATTAGAAAAGGCTTTGGAGCATCACCCTCGAGGTCTGTTCTAGGCATGACTGAAAAGTTTATTTTCCTCTTGGAGGTTGCTGTGATAGTATTTTAATTTGTTTTCTGATTGAATGATTTAATTAGATGGTGTTTGGGAATCTCTTGGGAATATAAATTGCAGTTTTGAGAAAAATTTTTTTTTTTAACACATAGATGGTAAAGGAGAGGGTGGGTAACTCCAGATTTTAAAAATAGCATCTGAATGGGCTGGAAACACAAAATAAGTGTTTGGACAGGTTTGCTCTTAGGAGGAGAAAGATGGGATTGCTGAAGGTGGTGAGGGGATGAGGAAGAGAGTGTCCCAGGGGAGACCTAAGTGTTAAGAAGTTGGGAAATGGAAACATTGATTCATGCCTTACTTTGGAAGTCTACTAGGAAAAATATAACTCTCCCTTTTTCCTGGTTAGCATCTTTTTGAATCTGTAAAATAATGTGCCAATATTAAAGAAAACATTTTAAAGTGTATGGAATTGCCTCTAGTCCACTCTATTCTAATAACAACTATTTGGTATTTTGGGCATTCCCTTCTAGCTTGGTCTACCTGCCTCCATATTTAAAAATGAAGGTGTAGTCGTGGTTTAATACATGACTTCTGCTTTTTTCAGTTTGCTTTTTGATAGAAGCATTTTTTCTTGTTTGCTGCATGGTTTATTGATCCAGCACTTACTTATTGGAGACCTAATATGTGCCAGGTACCATACTGGGGAGGTGACTCTGGGTGCAGTGGTGAATTGAGACACTCCTTCCTCCTGTCACAGTGGCCTTGTTTGTAAAGGATGATAGAATCTCCCTTATTCAACACAGTTTTGGTTAAAGTTAGTCAATCGAGAAACTGTTTAAATCAGAGAGTAAAATAGAACATTACATACATGCACTAAATATTTTATTTTAATACTGTTCAAAATATACATTTATTTGCTGGTCTTTTGGTGTAAGGCCAACCAAGCCTTTGTCTTTGAGCTGGGTCTGCCAATTGTTTTTCTTCTCATCTTCCATGCATAAACCGCTCCCATAATGTGCTGTTTACAAAGTCTGATTACTCGTTCTGTTTTCTTTAAAATTCATTGAGAACTGGAAGATGCTTATGAAGCAATCACAGTGTAGTAGCCTAAATTTTTATGACTTTGGTCTTTGCAGCTATTTTGTTCACATGTAATTTGGCTGCTGTTTAAAGTCTTTATAAAGTCCTTCCAGAGCATAATAAATTTATTTTCTTAGAAACAACAACTCTCATCATTTTAGCAGTCATATCCCATTGGTTTATATAATACATAATTTAATTATGGTGTTACAATGACAAGTTATTGCAGTACATTTGGGAAGAAACCCAGTGGACTGTTGTTAAGCATACAATTCAGTTGTTAGCAGGAGATGTGAGTGGGTGCAAGAGAGAAAAAGCTGACACAGAAGGACAAGGGTAGCCTGGGGCTCATTTTACAGGGGAATGAGAGCATGCTTCATCTGGAAAGGTGATTAAGTGGAGGGTTTTTAAAGAGAACTTTTACTGTATTTTTAACAACTGTGTAATATTCCATCACTAACAGACCATGACTGATTAAACTACTTCCCTATTATTGAACATCTCTTCTATTATATTAATGTAGGTAACATCTTCACCTCACTATGTTCTTCTTATGAATTATTTTTAAGGATGTATTTCCAGAAGTGGGATTATTACTGACTCAAAGAGTGGAAACATTTTTATGAAAGATTGCTTTTCAAAAGGAAAATCTTTCTATACAGCCACTAGTAATGTATTATTGTGCTGGTTTCATGGAGCTTGGCCAGCATTGGGTGTTAATCATT